ATACTTTTATATCTTATTGTTATCATAACGTTGGTATAGTTATGAACAAAATTAATAACGATGCAGTTTTTGGTTAGCATCGCCTAGATTCTAGTATTTTTTTTATAATTTAAAATCATGCTGATAGTATCTTAATGTATTTATTTTCATAGCTTTTATAAGCTATATTATCATATGGGCCGCTTATTACACACATGAATTACCTTTGATTTTTGAAAAAAAAACATAAAATTTGGTACTAAAGCACTTATAAATATCAAGAACATTTTGTCTTTGGTAGAATATTTGATTTCGATTAAAAGACCTTTCGATTAACACCATATTCTCATGTTTTCAAAAAATATCTAGTGGACCAAAGGATAAAGTGAAGTATAGCACATTATTCTGAACTTAAAATTATTGGTAACTCTTACTTAATATTTTAAAGTATGAAGCACATATAATATTTAAAACCGTCTTACTGGTAATTCTTGATTCTTATATTTTCTATATAAAAAAGGAAATACTTTCAACGTCTTTCAATGTCAATATTAATTGAAATGTCCAATTTAACCTAAGGCAACTTTTTCTATAAATATATAATTCTAGTAACACATAAAAATAAATTACAATCAGGCGAATCTCTTTTTGGCAGAATTACGACCTTTCCAAACATTAGCTTTGACTAACTTGTATCAAAACTCAAATTTTTAATTTTGTCAATGCCATAATTTATGTATGATATACATCATACATAATACCCTAGTACATTTTAAGGTGGTCCTTAATATGGATGTTTCCATATTAAGGACCTTGCTCCCAGGGGCTCAAATGCTTTCAAATTGATAAAAGAAAATTTTCTGAAAGTTTTAGGTCTTAATATAAACTTTAAAATATGCCGCAATCGTATCAAAGTTTCTATGAAAATAACATAGTTAAAATACGATTTGTTTTATAACTTACTAGCGACAAGTGAATCAAAATTTTGAGAATAACATTGTTATTACTTATTTTGATCATAAATAAAAAGTTCACAATAAAAATTTCATATATTTCATAAAATAAGTACATATTTTTTCGGGAAGCAGAACCAAGAAACTTTGGTTGGAGTGCAAACTATGTTAGAGTTAATATTGAGAGGTAAAACTTTCAGAGTTTTTTTTATCAATTTGGAAGCATTTGAGCCTCTGGAAGCAAGGAAATTCCAAAACATCCATATTAAAGACTACCCTAATATATATATATATATATATATATATATATATATATATATATATATATCTTTGGGGACGGCTGTCCACTTGAGTGGCCAAACATACTCTGTGAGGCACAGGCTATTTTATAAACAATGACTCCGTTTGCATCGAAAAGTTGAATAAATTACATATAGCAGTGATAAACAGTGTAGTATTTTGAAAATAATTATATTTTAGTAGTATTTTTAGCCGTTTTCTTTGCTAAATAGTCTTTTTTTAATATTTAAAGTGACCGAGCGCTTTTAAATATGGCAAAGCGACTAATAAATTTTTGAATTAAGCAGTAGTGAAGATGAGTTTCAAATAGACATTCATACAGACAAATTTTACGAAATTACTATTCGCACCGAAGATAGTGATGAATGTGATGATGATATTATCCAACCAACAAAAAGAAGAAGTTCGACAAATTAAATGAAGAGTGGGAAGACATTAGCGAATGTGCCGATTCTCCTTCAATAATCGAGTTTGACATACATCAACAGACACCCCGACTACAATTTCTAAATGCGAGACAAAAAAAAAGGATTGTATTGTCTGCTCTGACAGAAAAGCACCAGGAGAAAGGCGGCGAATAACATTTTATTGTAAAACATGTCAAAATCAACCAGCTATGCATTTTGGAAATTGTTTTGAACGTCACCATTCTTTATAAAATGATCAAAAATAAATTAATATTATAAATGTATGTCCTCCAATGACCACACATTTTTATCAAACAAATTGCATAACATACACAATGAAATCAAGTTTACAGCCGGTACAGTAGATTGTTTTGAAATCGGTGCCGTCCCGAAAGTGATATATATATATATATATATATATATATATATATATATAATTCCTGCCTTTAAGTAATTGGTATATATACATACTTAATTAGAGTATTAATTAATCATTAATCCATACAGTTCTGCGCCATGCGTTTCGTTTGTCATATCGTTTTAATCATTTGGATATTGCTCATAAAATAAATTAAAACATAGAACCGAATAGGTCTGTAATGAAAATATGTACAAATTAACATTTTTGTGATAATACTTTCTAAAATATATTTTACTTTATTACCTTTATCATTTAGCCAATTAGATAATCCCTAATAATAGATTGATTTTATGACAATTCTTCTAATGTATTCCATACAGAGTTAAAACTATACGCACATTGGTGCCTTTATAGTACAGATCTCAATTGATATCGTTAATTTGACTTGGAAATCCAATGTATATAATTGCATATCCCAAGTTTTCTGTAATGTACAATGTGTGCATTGAAGAGCTCAAATGGTTTATACCTTTTGGTAGAACATTTCGTATATTTGGTATGTGATATATATAATAAAACTATATTCGATCTGAGAATTAATGTTCATCCAGCGTAATGCTCCTATTAATTTTCAATTAATTATCATGCTAATGTATGTGATGCAAAGCTCTGCGCGTGGCATTAGACCGTCGTCACACGATCCACTTCCACATATCGCACAGAGCTTTCGCTATGTCAGCAAATCACTTCTTTTTCATTGAATACCGGAGTTTCCGATGACGAAAGACTTTTTAACCTTGCTTCCAATATCGATCGCCTCCTCCTGCGTCTTCTCCGGCACCAGATGCACATCATGTACAATATTAGTAACAGCAGAAACAGTAGTCCTGCCAAAATAACCGCATGCTGCATGGGCAGATGAACTAGTGGTGAGCATGTCAGAAATGCTTCGTCCCTGCCCGATGGACAATGCGGTATGTTGTCGCACCACAACGAAGCGCTTATGCAAGCGTCCAGCTCCGGACAACGGTACGGGCAGACTGGATCCAGGCCGAACATTTCTGATAGTGTTTCTACACTTGGCCTGTGAAATGATTTCAACATCTCATTAAACAGTTCCAGTTGTAAATACAAAAATAAAAACATGAAGTGCGAGCATCACTTATACATCGGCATACATCTTATAGAAAACACTGCATAGAACTAAGGGGTCGATTCTGCAGTAAAATGAACCAATGTTATGGCAAGGCTATGTTACGTAGCGTTTTGCATACAAAGTAGTCGTAAATAATGCCAAAATACCATGTATTTGCTGTGCAGTCAAGCGTTTTATATAGAAAATAGAACTTTACTCATATGCTATTATGCCACATCACAAAGACGTACTTATAATAAAATTGTTTTTTTGATGTCTGTGCGTTTTTTAAGTTAGATTTTCCATCAAAAACGCCTAACTGCACATAAAACCAAGTACCAATTTTTTTATAAAAAAACGCTACGTAACATAGTCTTGCCATGACATTGGACTATTTTACGGCAGAATCGGCCCATAAATTATAAAATGGTAAATGTACAATATTGCAATGTGATCAATATATAATTATTTCATACATTTGATGATATTGTATAACGTAGAAATGTTAAATATTTTTATTTTTATTATTACGATGGTTTTAATTTAGATTAGCATTTTTATAGAAAGGGCATAGTTTTTCAATTTTATCCGCTCAACTTATATTAAAAATTCTGATCTTGTCCATTTAACATATAAAAAGTCTATATAATGATCGAAATATTAAACTTTGCAAAATAAAGAATAATTGAAAAAACTAGATTTTCAAGAAATTTTGAAATGTTTGATAAAATTTGACTTTTTGAAAGAAATTGTTTTTTTGTATTTTGATTTTTTTTGAAAATTTTGAACATTTTTTAAGCAATCACGCTGCATAGCTGATTTGAAGTCGAAATAGCAAAGCGCGCAAGCGCCGCGTAGTCTAACCTGTAAACATTGGTACTGAACCCATATAAGTGTACACAGAATTTTTATTTATTTGTTTATAATCTTTATAAAATATTTGGTAATACAATGAACATATGTCTAATGATCATTTTTGACCGCTAAATGACATTATTTTATACTTTTTTTTATTGGATCTTCGGAGACGCTGGAGTTGTTCATTTCGTCAATACAAGTAAAATGTTGTTTCAATTATTTATATCGAAAGCTCCGTTATCTCAAAAACTGAAATACTATTTTTGGCACTTTTGCCCCGTATCTCTAAAACGGCTAAATCTGCCTTTGCCAAAAACTAATCAGAACGTCTCCCTATCAGTAGGAATCGAATGTTTTTATTCAATAGTTTCAATTCAATAATTTCGTGAAATCGTCGACGAAAATTTGTATCCGCACACACACATACATCCATTTTTTCTAAGGTTTGCCAATATGTTCACAAACCTCTGAAACGTAAAGATCTATACAAATTTTAATTTTCGATTTTGTTGCGATTACTATAACTTAATCTACGGGAAGTTAATTAAGGTTATTATTCTGTTATTGAATAGATATAAATACTATTTTAAAAAAGCGGCTTTGAAGGTGCTACATTAAGAATAATTGTACTTCTAAAGCTGACCTGAGTTGCAGTTGTAGCCGAGTTTAAACTTTGACACATGTATTACTGTTGTTTTATAACATATGACATAATTAAAATGAACAACGTGAGTTGTCTTGGAATTTGTGTTCACATTCAACAATATTATATAACTTATGATAGGGCTTATGATATATTTATATATATAATAGATTAAGGGCTAAAAGTGTTGAAATTTAATCACTTTCCAAATATACTTTTATTTTATTGCTTTTTATGCTTTTTACAATGAATTTTAGTATGAACATTTTATAATGTGTTGTGCGGATTTAAAAACTACATAACCTTTCTGTTTATTTAATTCATTCATCGCTCACCTCATTGTCAACTCCAGCCACGTCACGACATACTCTGCATTTTCTTCTCCGTGGAACTCAATAATTATTTCCGTGCTCGGTGTTGTCAATAAATGTCTCTCCGAAAATGGATCAGGCGTAGGAACATGTTTATGTGGCGGCCAACCATCAGAAAATACATCGACAAATTGATCTCTGTTTTCCGATGGGCACACGGTTATTCTTTTTAGGCCAGCATGCACCAGGATACGATTGCTTGTTTCACAATTCACGCCAACTAAGGGTATGAGTGAAGATACAGGTATTGCCGTTGAGTTGGGAGGATATTCGTGTTCGTCCACTGAAGCTACGAGGACTCCTGGCACTCGAACGTAGAGATAACGATTGTGCTGCGGTTCGACTAGCCAGGGATGATAGGCACAGTTCAACTGGATCGGGAAAAAAATCATTGCCGATTACATTTGATGAATAAATAACTAGCTGTAAGTGGAATTCTGTCTTAAGGCAATTAGGGCATCGTGCCTTAAGGCAAATTGCTGGAACTTCCCGTACCAAAAATTATTATTTTTTTTTAAAACGATTAACATTTTTGAAAAAAAATTACTTTGAAAAAATAAGATTTTTGAGAAACTATAAATTGGACAAAAAATTAGTTTTTTTTGAAAAAAAAAAAAAATTTTAAAAATTTTTTTTAAAAAAAATTTTTTTTTTTTTGAAAAAAATTTTTTTTTTCTTTATTTTGACATATTGTGGAAGATCTGAACTTTTTTTTCAAAGCAATCGTACTGCTTTAACTACATAGGGACAAAATATAAAGCGCGTAAGCGCCGCGTCGCTGTCTAACGCATAAGCATTGGTACGGAACCGATAGGAATGTTAACAAAATGTATACTTATTGTTAAAATCTCTATAAAATGTCTGATAATTTGATGTGCATATGTCTAATGATCATTTTTGACCGCCAAATGGCTCATTTTTTTACTTTTTCCTCTATATCTCCCAAACCGCTGGACCTACCTTCATGAAAGTTATATCGATTCTTCATCTTGTCAATACAAATAAAATGTTTTTTGAATTATTAAAATCGGACGCTCCGTTCTCTTAAAAACTGAGTTACCGTTTTCGGAACTTTTTGCCCCGTATCTTCGGAACGGCTTGACCTGCCTTTGCCAAAAACTAATCAGCACGTCTCCTTATCAATACGGATCGAATGTTTTTTGAATTATTTAAATCGGTTGATCCGTGTTCCCGAAATCGTCGACGAAAATTTGTATCCGCACATACATACACACACATACATACATACATACATACACACACACACACATACACACACACACACACACACACACACATACATCCATTTTTTCTAAGGTATGCCAAAATGTTCAGAAACCTCTGAAACGTAAAGATATATAAAAATTTTCATTTTCGATTTTTTTGCGATTACTATAACTTGCCCTACGGGAAGTTAAATACATCTATAGATACTTTTAAGTCTCTCTGTTTTAAGAGGGTTGTTCTTTTTTTATTTTTCTTTGTTTCGGTTTTGAGATTTTTTGATATTATGAAAGCTAAAAACCTTAGAATTATTTTAAAAAAAATCATCTCAATATCTATTTTTTTGACGAAGTTATAGATATATTTATCTCTATATGTATGATCCTCTAAAAGCGTTTTTTTATCGCTCCGCGAGCTATTGTATGCCAGCTGCCTCTTTTTCATCATAATACCTCATGCACATGACCTTTTTAATGTGTCAGCATCTTTGAACACCATGGTTTATTTAGTACATTAAATTAAATGGTGTATTTAGTACATTATATTAAAAACTTTAAATACGTTTTTCTCAAATTGACTTTTTTCAATGCGGTGCCACAAATTAAAAAAAACTACAAGTCGGATCGACTTGCATTTTTTTTTAATTTGTTCACCACTGCAATACCTAGTCCCCCTACTTTAAACAACTTGATAACATTACGCAAAAAAAATCTTGCGAAGCTTCTCGCTCCAAAAAAAGGCCTTTTTTGACACTTTTTTTTAAATAGCTGCCATTCTTTTCCTTCTTGCTTTTTTTCTTTCATTTTGGTAGGGGGACTGGATTCAAACTTCTTCTTCAACGTAGTTTCTTTAATTTTTGTTTCGGGCGATGCGCAACAGATTTATCTGTGGCACCGCAAAAGAGATCGATTTTGCAAGACCGACTTTGGCGCCCCCTGGTTAAAAAATGACGGCGCAAAAAAAAGAAGAAAATCACGTAATATTCTATGACTTCGTAATTTTTGTTTAAAAGAAACCGCATGTCTCTATGATAAATACATCTCGAGAAAAACAAAAACAAATATCTTGCATGTTTTGTAACAAAAAAAGAACAACCCTCTTAAATGTTATCTCAAGTTAATATTCAAGAAATAATATAGCAAGTGACGATTGATGCATAAGCTTATTTCTGACATGAAAGTGATTAACTAACAAAGATTTTAAAAATCAAAACCAATTAACTATTTTGCTACAAATGTCGACCATGGACGACATCCGCATAACGTGCTGTGTGTACGGATGTTATGTGTCGGACTTCAAGATTCATCACTATCAGTTAAATAATTTTGTTTGTAGACCTTTTTTGCTTATTCAACATTCGAGTTTTTTTTATTTATTAGAGAGAACGTTGTGAAGCTCAGAAAGCAGTTAAATATAGGTAGGTTCGATATGGCGGCGCGAGCAGATTTTGGGGGGATAAAACTATTGATTTTACAAAAAAAGTCATTGAATTAATTATAGAAATTTTCTCCAGTTTAATTTGTATATAGCTATTTTTATCGTAAAGCAAGTCGAAAAATTTACCAATTTATGGCGTTTTACCAAACGCTTATTTATGCGCCTACGGCAAAAATTTGGGATTGCAAAGTTGAAATTCGTAAAAGACACATCGAAGTCTATTGGATTTTAATTTGCAAAACTCTCCGTGTACTTTCCAAACAAACGTCTTTTTTGCACCAAATGACTGGACTATAAGATATTTTCAATTGTGTCCCTCTCGATTTAAGTAGATTTTTATAAGATATTTCTAAGCCTCATTAACTAGTATTTAGGCTCAAATTCCGCCTAGTACGTCATAAGTGAAATGAGGAAGATACATACGTCGTAATATGTTGATTTTTATTAAACAAATCGATATTGGTAATAGCTTTGCCCCATATCTCCAACAGATCTACGGTACTAATTGCATTCTATATCTACGCCTGTGTGATTAAAAATTATTATTAATGATAATGATATTAAGTAATGTGAACGTTTCATACTCACGTCTTTGGAATCGCTGCCAGGCGGGCGGAAGCGCATCTCGCCGCTGACACCGCTGACCCTTCGGTTGGCCGTGCATTGCGGACTGCGGACGAATTCGTAACTTGCTTCAAACATTAACGTATCGCCGTCATCGTCAGCGCGCATTTTTTTAGCAGAAAATCTCAACTCTGCTCCATTAGTGGCCGATATGAACGTATATGGCATGGACACGCCTTTTGAAACAAAGATAAAATGTAATTTGTAATTTATTGCATTGTGCCTTAACCACTTCGGTACGATCGAAAAGTTTACTTTAAGAACGTAAGAACGATGCATGCCGGCTGTGAGCGGCGTTTAGTGGACAGTAGGCGCCGTACCGAAGTGGTTATTGCAAATTATTGCAAGTTCCAGATTTATCCAGATCTTTAAGTTTTTTTTATCAGTCTTACAAGATTAAATCTCGATTTACTTTCGATTATAGAGTAATATGAAACGTTGACTTTCATGAGGGAACGAATGAAATGAAATAAATAATAATAAATAAATTACGTCGATACGTGGAGAATTATGTCAATTTTATACGTAAATTATATTTTTGTATATTGATATGAAATATATAGTCCAGTCATTATAGTAAGTTTACCTCAGAATTCGAGATACCCAGCTGTAAGTCTGTAAATACTTGTATATTGACACCCTAAAGTTGTCTCAAAATCTACATATGGTATTGATACTCTACCATATGTAGGTTTTGAGAAAATTTTAGGATGTCAATTTACAAGTATTTACAGACTTACAGCTCGGTATTTCGAATTCTGAGATTCTTACCTAATTTAAGCTTAAATGACTGGACTATATTGTTTAAGATAAGACTAACAAAAACTGAAACATTCATTTACATGCTGTTAAAACCTCATACAAACATTTTTGCTCTTAAAATCGCTATTTTTTTTTATTTGTTGGCCTACATGGCCAATTCTTTTCCCTAAAATCATCAACTCTTTATACCGTGAATACAAATCGAATATTTGATTTATTTATTAAATCAATTTATTTATTTAAGAATTGATTTATTATGTTTAATGTACTACATTGATAGGTAAGGTAATTATACGATACATTTTCAATTCTCTTCATAGTACTCATACTCACCAGTAGTTGTTTGAGAACAAAAACATCCTTTTCTAATGGGTGGGGCATTGTTCCAAATATTTTCGTATAAACGTAGTGTGGCCGACTTATCGCCAGAACACTCCGCTAATCCAGTCGATTCATCGATGCGCGTCAAACATGCTCGGCCGCTTGTCGAAATCCGAGTTAATATTATTTTTACGCGTTCTCCTCGCTGCGCCTCAAAACGATAACGACAACTAACCAAAAGATAAGAGAAAAGTGTTAGTTAAATATCTATATATACTTTAACATGAATCAATTCTGATACAATTATTTTTCATACAAAAATATGCCCGCAAATATATTTTTTGGGTTTTAATTTGTCGCACTCTTTTTTTCCAAAATCACCGGTGAATAATACTATTACGTTATACATTAGACAAAAATTACGACAAAGGACTTACTCTAAATTTTCCGCACCGCCACGGCCAAATAGAAAAACATCTCGAGGAGATCGAACACGTTTAGATGTTTGAGGATATAGATCTAAGTTGTCCCTCGCGCGGCTTACAAATTTGCGGTAGCAAGCGCCGGTGCCAAAAGCTTCACCATCTTGATGAAGGTCGACGAATTCGTACTGGATTCGAAATAATAGAGGCCTAAGAAAGACATGCTTCATATTAAATTTTCTTTTCTAACAATACGTGCTACAAACTTATAAATAAATATATTCAACATATACAACCACGAATTTATGTTTTATTTACCTCAGTGCTGTAGATTCCTTCAAGCTGAGTTGAACAGTCAAAGTATCAGCACTACTGAAGAAACTCTCTGAATCACTGCACGGTCGAGGCAACTGTGCGCTGCCGTGCTGAAGAAGCCCGTGATCACAACTCCGCGGCACCAGATCCTTGCAATAACGTGCCAATATTGTTGCGTTGCCTGGTGGCTTGCGACCAGTACTTCCGCCGACTTTAGGCAAGTTATCGTTACCACTGGAACAGGTGAAAAATAATATTTATTGAATGATCTATTCATTGAAGAAAACAAGTAATGTTGAATTAGCTTTTTATCTGTAATAGTATGGCAATTGCATTTATCGTTATATATCTAAAAAACCGCGCTTATTACGAATCCTTTAATAGTTTTGTTTTACCGTTACAACATATTAAATTGTTATTATAAAACAATTATCAAAATACATTATAAATACCATGGAACTTCGTTGCACGTTGGTGGCGATCTCAGAGGTCCGTCCCAAATATCTAAACGGCTTGAACAAACATCGTTCTCTCGTATTGGTGGACCAATGGTTGAACCTACAATAAACTTAAGCACGGACAACCATATGCGATATCTGGGCTATAGCGTTGCACTCCCCAGACGCCACGAGAAATTGTCTGGAAATCGTGCTGACGGTCTGGATGGATTTGAAGCCACTGTCGTGTCTAAGCCCTTAAAATAGTTATACATAATATATATATATATATATATATATATTTACATAAGGTTATTATTAAAATTTACCTGGAAATGGTATAAACATGTTGTGTTAGGACTTAGCGTGTGCTTTGGAGTTTCCAGCACCCCACGTCCGGTACCTCGCAGCCAAAACTCACATGTTCGTTTGTTACTGGCATATGTGGGTGAGGCTTGTTCCACAAAGCGAACCTGATAATATTTGAAGGAACATATATATAAATTGAACTGTAATAACAATTCGAATCATTATTTTGTTTAATAATTACAAAACGCGTTGCTAGTTATATGTAGGTTACGCGGACATCGGAAGTGCTTACTGTTAGATTTTGTAAATAGGTTGTAAACAATAAATTAGTATATAAGAGTTAGACAAAAGTTAGACAGTCAGTCAAGCTCAGAGTCAAGCTCAGAGTCAAGCTTGGAGTCAAGCTTGGAGTCAAAATAGTATTCAGTAAAATGTAGTCTTTGCTGATATGATAACCAGAAGGTTATCAACAAATATTAATTGTAACAATAGTGAATAATAAAAGTATCATTGGAAGAAAGAAGTGTGTTTACAATTTACTATCAAATCGCTGTTTGTCCTAAAGGCCTTTTACACTACCAGTGGACTCTGGAGAGTCCACATCACAAATATAATATTTCAACAACTATTCAACTGTTCACCGCTCGGGTCCAGCCTATCATTACAATTCCTGGTCGTACTGGTGATCCAGAACCTACATCCAAAATATCAACCACCAGTCAGGACAATTCAAAATATTGTAATATACTCGTATATATAATAAACATTGAATTATGATTTTAAACTTTTTAATATTATATTTTTTAAATTTAAAAAATAAAATAATATTTTACCTCTACTTCTAACTGGAATCCGTGCAATATTTGACGCGGCGCTGGATGTAAGAAAGTGCCATACGGAGAACTAGTGAACTCAACGAGTAGCTCCGGTCCACTTGAAACTGCTTCAGGCACAGGTTCATCACCTCCGCAAAATCGTAATATTGCTGGGTCTCTCGTCGTGTATCCATCGTACACTGTAACGTAATCCTGAAATAGAATAAAATAATTAGCTTTTGTTACTTTTGAATAGTTTTCTGATTTATAAAGTTTACGCAGAGCTGTACCTGTACTTCATCGCATTCGTTCCATACGCGTAGGCCTCGTTTCGGTTTCGATCCTTCTCCAACGTGTTCGGTTTCTGGGGTTGTTGGCGCGGCGTGGAGAACACTATTGCTTCGTATTGCAATCAACTGCCCTCGAGGTTGACGAACACTGATCAGAGCGTGTTGCCCAGGCGGGACGTCATGCTATCAGAAAATTTTTAATTTTATAATACAATTTTATGTGTCTTTATATGTCAATATCTTATGTGTTTATCATCTTCTCTGGATTGTTTGAAAAATAATAAATAAATACATTTTTAGGCTCACCTGTCGGACCGCATAATAACAAGTGAGATTTCTCGGATAAACGCCCGGAAAATTTGGGCTCTGTAGACGGCAAGCCTTTCGGTCGCAATCGCTAAATATTCGCGAACAGTAAGTACCAGGAATGAGTTCTCCAAGGTGGTATAGTGGCTCAGCTACTTTGGGTGGTCCCAGTTGCGGCTGTGATGGTGGTTTTGAAAATATTGTCGAGAACGTTGGAGCCAGCAGTGGAGGAGCGTTGGAATCGCCAAAAACTAACGTAAGAATAAACCGTAAAATTAGAAATATATATATATATATATATATATATATATATAGATAATTATATATATATATATATATATATATATATATATATATATATATGTATATATAATAAAGCTAAATACTGTTTAAATGCAATGTATTTGCTGTACGATCAGCGTTTTACACATAAAATGCAACTCCACTCATATGTTATTAAATCATATCACAAAGATCCAATTCTGATAACATTGTTTTTTGACATTTGTGCGTTTTCTATGTTAGGTTTTCTATCTGAAACGCCTGACTGCACAGCAACCACATGACTTTTGACAGTATTTAGTACGATTGTGTATGAAAACTGCTACATAACATAGCCTTGCCATAGCATCGGTCTGTTTTACGGCAGAATCGGCCCCATAAATTAAATTCTACTTTTATAGATTTTGTGGAAACTAATGATTGTACGTAAAAAGATTATAATAATAATAATTATAAATTTTTGTACTTTTACCATTACATTATTTATAGCAACTATTGTTGTTGCCAGATTCCAACGAATAAAGAAGAACAACAAATAGTTCGTTTGTTTATTCATCAAATCGTCTCCTTGTGAAAAATATCAGTGAGAACTAGGGAATGCAATACCGGTATACTGTTATACCGAATTACCGGTGAATCGCCTGATTTTTCGGCGGAATTTTTACCGGTATTTATTCCAAAAATACCGGTATTTTCGGTATTCTTACATAAGCGCTATTTGATACATAATACTCTAAAGTTTAAATTTCTCGGAACAAATTTATCTTTAAATTCCACAATCGCATAAACAGCTATATCTTCAAGTGATTCTATAAGATAAACAAATGTCAAATATTATCTCAACTCGTCATTAAACATTGCTTTCCAAAGGGCTTCATATCGTACAATAATAGAATTGGACTGATAGATAATGATGTTTGTTTCATCTTTTGTAAAAATGTAACGGTTTTTTAAGTGATATTTGCGCCAAAATATTTTATATCATGCAGATTACACCTGCGTAATTTTTATTTTTATCTAACTTTATACATAATAATTATGATAATTACTAAATATTTTTGCTTCTTATTACAATTATAAAATATTATTTTCCGAAAACGTTTCAAAGTTTGAAAATACTATAGAAGCATCACATTGTTTTAAATAACAATACTCAACAATTATAGTAACTTATTATTTATCTCGACAAAGAATCCGATCTTAAATTAGTGTAGAAAAATTATTTTTTTAAAATATCGGAGATTATGCTAATTTAACACATGCTACAGGATACAAAAAATACAGTTTATTATAATAATGTAATATGATCTTTTATGAGTTTTTGGTCTTTCTTACTCATAAGTTTGTTTTTGGTGAAATGTACTTAATATACTCGATAGTGATAATGAATTAATTAAATTGCATATACTTTTGTTAAATTATTATTTAAAAAAATAAACTTATTGTTCTATTTTATTGTTTAGTTGAATATAGTTGTAGTTCTATATACATTTTTTTATATTTGTACTAGTAACTTTCAATTTTGTTTACGTTTGTTTAAAATAATAAAAATACCGGTAATTTACCGGTATTCCGGTTTTAAAATAAAAAATTACCGAAATACCGGTATTGAAATTTTCCATCGGTATTGCATTCCCTAGTGAGAACCATATATCGTTGTTTAACAATACGTGTACTTAATTTGGAGCTTAATATTTACCGCAACAAGTACATTTTCATAGATCCAAATCATATAACGCAGCATTTTATTTCAATTTAAATTAAAGTTAAGTATACTTGAAATTGCGTACTTATATCTGGAACGGCACCTCCGTATCTAGCAACAGCTTCGACTTTTTGCAACATTTTGTATTCGATCTTGAAGTCAAAATTGTAGCCGTTGATTTCTCGTGACAAGTGTTGGAGCCGTACGATCGCCGTTACGCTGCGCGTCTCGCTGTAGAAGTGCGCCGGACTCCACAGCGTGCCGCACCACGCGCCCCCGACTTGCGGTCTACCCAGCTCGGACAGCTGCAGGGTACCATCTGGGCAACCGGCAGTGGTAAATGATGTAAACCGACCCAAAGTGAAACTTGTGAAGGTTAACTGTTGGATTTCAAAACCTTTTATAGTATATGCATATATATATATATATATATATATATATATATATATATAGGGTATATATATATATATATATAGGGTATATATATATATATATATATATATATATATATATATATATATTAATTCAGACATATGAACAAACAACTCTTTTTTGCACTAATATATTAATAATTTTACAAACGTTTCGAGACTAGGTTTGTCTCATCATCAGTGTGTTATAATTTAAAATCTAAAATATGGAAACCTAAATTGCATTATGTGGTATCCGTTACAAGTCGTTTATTATACTCATTATACATATTTATATGTACATCATTATATATATTGTTCATTATACTATTGAGTATAATGAACGACTTGTAACGGATAACACATAATGCTATTATAGATTTCCATATTTTTGATTTTAAATTATAACACACTGATGATGAGACAAACCTAGTCTCCAAACGTTTGTAAAATTATTATTTAATACATTAGTACAGAAAAGAGTGTTGTTTGTTCATTTTTCTAAATTAATATCTATCTATCCACTTTGAATACATTTGTTATATATATATATATATATATATATATATATATATATATATATACATATATACATACACGGGCCAACTTGGCAACCGTTGTTCAGCTATAAAAAATAGTTCTAGAATAATTTCAGTATAAAATATAGCAAATTAATAAATATAAATTAAAGCAAATTAACAAATTATATGGATGGTTTAGCCACTGCAAAGCATGCCACATATAAATGTTTATAGGGCATATATAGTCATTGAAAGTGCCAGCGCCAGCCTAATCTGAAGCTGATTTTATTTAAATTGAATAGGCACATTTGAAAATTCAAGGTTTTTATGTTTCAATAATTCATTAAATAATCAGTTGAAAGTGGCATTTTGCCTTGAAACAAGTTGCATGAACTCCACGAAATGTGTAATAATTGTATTAATCGACCTGAATTAAAATTATAACTAGTGGGGTGCATGGCATCGTGCCTTAAGGCAAATTGCTGGAACTTCCCGTACTAAAAATTATTCTTTTTTAAATTAACATTTTTGAAAAAAATTTACTTTGAAAAAATTAGATTTTTGAGAAACTATGAATTTTTGAAAAGAAAATTTTTTTTTGGAAAAAAGACTTTTTGAAACAAAAATGTTGTCTTTATTTTGAAATATTTTGGAAGTTCTGAAGATTTTTTCAAAGCAATCGTACTGCATAGAGACTAACGGATAAACATTGGTACGGAACTCATAGGAATGTGAACAAAATTTATACTGATGATGCATATGTCTAATGATCATTTTTGATCGCCAAACGTCATTTTTTTACTTTTTTTACTAGATATCCGAAACCGCTAGACCTGCCTTCATGGAATTTAAGCAGTTGTTCATCTCGTCAATACAAGTGAAATGCTTTTGAAATATTAAAATCGGACACTGCGTTCTCTTAAAAACTGAGTTACCGTTTGTGGCACTTTTTGTCCCGTATCTTCGAAACGACTAGACCTTCCTATGCTAAAAACTAATCAGCACGTCTCCTTATCCACATCATTCGAATGTTTTTTGAATAATTAAAATGGGTTGAACCGCGTTCCCGAAATCGTCGACAAAAATTTGTATCCGCACACACACACATACATCCATTTTTTCTAAGGTATGCCAAAATTTTTAGAAACCTCTGAAACGTAAAGATATATAAAAATTTTCACTTTCGATTTTTTTGCGATTACTATAACTTACCCTAGGGGAAGTTAATAAAACAAAAGAAATTGGTTCAAAAAATCTTAAAGCTGGTCAACCATTAACTCTTACGGGTATGAAAAATAGATGTTAGTTACTTCTCAGAATCAGTCATACCAAAAATTGATCATAAAACTTCAAAAAGGTCCAACCGTTTCAGATGAATATTGTGACGAACCACATGACAACGAAAGTTTTATACATATTAAATAGGAAATATTTAATAGCGAAATAATAATATATTAGATAGGAGTGTTATTGAATGTCGCGCCTATGGATGTATGCTTGAGGTTGTAGTACCAACCTCAGATCCGACAAACAACCTGTTGACAGTACTGGCAGACACACCTGAAATGTAATGTATATGCGTAAAAGAGCAAAGTGGCCGTCAGTCTAAGTTAGGCATTTGATGTCCAGATACCATGTGATATGTGACAATGACTATGCAAGCGTTGGGGTAGTTGATTGGAGACGGCACGCAACGATTGTATGTTTAAGAAGACTGATGAAATAAATGTGTTAGAAAAGTGACGGCACCGGTGTTTGATTTAATATTTAATATAAGTAAGCGGCCACCTGAAAGGTTACAGTTATCCGAAGTGGAATATCGAGATGGATTTGAAGACTTTATGTACTTAGAGTGTAGTGAAGGTTATTGAAATAGGTGATGTTAATAATTTTTGTATTCAGGCGGATTACTAATTACGGGGTTAGACGGCATTGGCCCAAGTGCAAGTGTTCTATGAAAGTTTCGTGATTTTCTTCGTTGTGCAAAAGTGAGGTTAGCACGTGGTTGACTAAAGTAAAAATCAATGGGATATTACGAGCAAGGAGCGCTAGTAACGTTGGTGAGTTGCGGTACAGTATGTTTTGTGGTGAAATATTTGAGATGGAGAAAAATAAGTCTACATTTATATATGTATATATAAATATATATATATATATATATATATATATATATATATAGACTTTTTTTCTCAAAAAATTATTTATTCACATTTTCATATACCTTTCACGAATTTTGATTCGTTTTATTCTGATTTTTAATAAATGTTTAAATATAAAAAGTTTATAAAGATATTTTTCACTTTCATAAAAAAACTTAATTTTGAAACAATTAAAAAAAAGTATAAATGAAAAAATTGTTTTAATTGTTCCTGGAAAAAAGAAGCATTTCATATCTCCAAAACATAGAATAAAATTTATGAACAGTAAACTTTTTCATTTCAAGTGCCATTCTGAATCGAATGGCACCATTGGAAAAAGTATGTGTGTGCATGTATATGTGTATGTGAATAGATTTTTTGCCGTAAATCGACGTTTTCTCAAAAACGGCTGAACCGATTTCAAAAATTTAAACGCGATTCGATGTGTCTCGATGAGGACTATCGTTTGTCAGTTTTGCGCTACGGTCGGCCAAATCGTTTCTTTGTAAATCGCAGAAAAGTGAAAAATTTTTAGTCCACGTTTTAGCCCGCAATTCTAAATCGATTTTGAAAATTCAAAAACTGTTTGAAAGATATTGGTTGGGAATCGTGATGATTAGTTTTTGGTAAAGATCGGCCGCGCCGTTTTCTTGTAATAAAGTGTTAAAAATTTTTTTTGCCGATTTTTACGATTTTATGGTATATACCATAAAACCATTTTTATGGTAGATAGCATAGTCTTACAGATCATACTAAAATATTACGGCCCTACGACAAGTCGTTTAATTTTAAAAATTCGTCAACGTTTGCAAAAATTAGTATCGCATTTTTGACATTTGTCAAAATTAGACCTATCATCGACGTTTGCTCAAAACGCTTTTAAAAAATCAAAAACTGTTCGAAAGATATTTATTTGTTGGGAATGATACTGATTAGTTTTAGATGAAAATCTACCGAGCCGTTTTCTTATAATTAACTGTTAAAAAAAAAAATTAGGCCGATTTCTATGGAACTTTTTTGACGATATTATATATCATAGTCTTATAGAACTTTCTGAAATATTATGGCCTTATGACAAGTAGTTTAATTTCAAAACTTCACCAAAATTTTAGAAAATGAGTAGTTTTTTGACGTTAGCTAAAATTAAAATTTGACTTTAGATTTATAAATCAATTTATAATTTTCATAATTGAACCAGTTTCCGTAGGACTTAAATGGTTTAGTATGTTCATTAAGACCAAGTACTCTCTCCTCATACCAAGTATACTTGGTTGCTACTTGAAAACATTTCATATCTCTCGAATGTTTAATTACGGTATGGAAAGTTTCAGCAATTTGCCTTAAAGCACAATGCCACACAACTTTGGTTTCTAACATGATAGGATATATTTTTTTATACCTGTACTAGATCTCCGAGAGTGCCTCCTGCAGCAGTAAATGTTAACATACACACATATGGCAACCTGTCTTCTTTTGGTCTGTGCAATTCTAATTGGTATATCGTATCTACTTCGCCATAAAGCGTTCGATTACAAGCTGTAAAGAATATATAAATACGATTATTATTTGAATCATAATATCTTATCATATTACACATCTAATAAAACGGTAAACTTATATTTAATTTAAAAATAAAAAAGAGAAAACATTAAAGTTTTAAGTGGTAATTAAAACTTCGAAAATGCATCATTTGAAACATCCTAGAAGTTTTCTAAAGATCCAGAATATCAAAGACCTAATTAAAATTTTACTAATGGCATATAACAAACTTAATTACAATTTTATGAATATATATTTTTATTTGATATTTTTATCATTATCATCTATCTTATAAGATTCTAGCATATTTCTTTGGCGAAATCGAATCAATGTGTTTAATATACTCGATTTATCGAACCGTAAACCTAAAAGATATGATTTTTCGAGCAAGCAATAATGTTTCATCCAATACATAAAGCAATAAGGCATTATGAAGAGAGCATTGTTAGGGATACTTCTCAAAAACATAAAGAAAATGGATCAGATATATTTATATAAGAGATTTTCTGTCACATAATGCTGTGTATGGAAAATTTAATAAGAAGGCTTTAGAAGTAGAGAATTCAGGCGCATACTCATTGGGTAAGAGTACTAAATTTGATGAAGACAATATTTTTTTTCGATTCACAATATATTATGTGATGATAATATTTATTGGGTGTTAAAAAAAATCATGTTTGAGACTAGGGTTTATACAAAAACCGACATTTCAGAAAACTGGTTTTCGAATTTTAATTTCACTAAAAAAACAGTTTTAACCGGTTTTCAAATTTTGTATAGAAAATAAATTTTTGCTCGAATATTCTGTAATTTATCCGCAAATTTAGTGTAATTTAGATCAGTATTTGACTGAATTTATTTATTGTTCAACTCTCTAGATAGTAAACAAAATTATTTTAATTTTAATTAGTAGAACTAAAAAATAATAGTTTATCAGGATTAAGTAACTTTGAAAATAATTATTCGTTATTCATGCATCATTTTCACATATAGGAATAAGAATATTTTTGTGATAGTGAAAGGAAAGTTCTCGAATAAATTAAAATAATACATTTTTAAATAAAAAAAAATTCATTAAATTAAAAAAAAATTATATACATGTTGATACATACTTGTTAGTATCGATTTTAGTTTTAAAAACAATTTTGCTAAACTCGGGTATTGCCTGTTCCGAGCAATTAATTAATTCTAGACATTTTTATTTTATTTTTTTATTTGGCCTCTTATTAACAAACTAGCCATATACAGAGTTTCTTACATTTAAATTCTAATTTTACATTTAACCACAAAACTATATATATAATTTTATAATATTCAATATATGACACTAAATTAACTAAGTTACATGTTTTCACTACACTTTTTATTCTATATAATTAATATAATAAATAATCCCTTTTTTTTGAAATCTGCTACATGTTCAAATTATAAGTTGTAAGGATCCCACATACTACTACTACACAAATTTGAAATTCATTTATAATTCTTCGATATCGATATTTACAATCTTTTTTTTTTTTTTAATTCATAATAGCCGCTCCACCTTCTCCGTCGACTCTGTCGGCTCTGATTAAATTATATTTTTTTATAAAATATCGACTGTTCGATTTAAACCAGGTTTCAGATAATAATATAATATCAATTTTATGTTGCTATATAAAAATTTGCAAACTTGTTTTATTTGCATTAAAAGATCCAATAATCCATTGTCAAAATTCATTAAGAGATTTATTATTTCAATTTTAAAATTTATTCAACTATTTACATTTTTATTTATTTTTTTATTTTCATACTGATGTATTATTGCCAACTCCAACTGTATTTTTATGGGCAATGTTTTTACTAGATTCTTCAAAGTTTAACTTTTCGCAAATTAAATCAACATCATTTTTAGCTTCTACCAAAAGTTCATCTATATCATCACCTTCTTTAATCTTGAATCTTTCCCTCAATTTCTTCAATAATTCATCATACTGTATTTGTATTTTTTTAATTTCTCCCAATTCTGAATTTTTACCGGATTTCTCGTCACTATTTGAATTTTTCACACCCAATGTTAGATTTAAATTCTTATTATGCATTTGATTATTAGATCTGACATTTACTGTTTGCCTTCTTTCAATTATTCGCCTAGGTTTATTCATTGCCATTAACTTATTTGGTTCTATATTTATTTCTTGCTCTTGAAGATGGCTTAGCAATTCGTACTTATTCTTATGTCTAAAATTATTTTCAAATTTAGCCGTTTCATTAACTCTAGGAAATGAATTTTTAAATTCCGGATTATAATGATTTATTTTAGCTGATTCTGCATATTTTTGATTGCGAAGGATAAATTTGGCCTCAGAATATGATATATTCTGAAAGGCCATTAATTCTTTAATTCTTTTATGATATTGAAACACTTCGCAAATTTTATCATTTGCTTCATGTTGTTTATGACACACCGCGCATTCAAAATCTTTTTCAATGAGGCATATATCCGTGCTATGTTCCCTAGCGCACTTGCGACATCTAGTTTTGCTTTTACATTGTACTCTGATATGACCATACCGCCAGCATTTGTGGCATTGAATAACATTTTGGATATATGGACTCACCTGCAATTTCACAGAATATATCGAAACTTTATCTGGTAAATAGTTTCCTTTAAACATAATTTTAACCATTTGCGATTTGTTAAAACTATGGCTTGTATTTCTTTTTTTATACACTTCACATCAATTATTTCAATTTCTGATTTAATGACTTGTTTAATTTCTTCCTCATCCATCTCGGAGTCAACATTAAATATTATACCTGTTCTACATAATTTATGTTTAGGAATATATACTTTTATTTTGTTTTTGTTCAAAAAATTTTCATTAATTATTTTATTTGCAAACTCAAAATTTTTGAATGTTATTTTAATTTTGTTTTTGCCAATTTTTGTGAAATTTTCTATATTATTACTTAATGCTGGGGAATTTTTATAAATCATTCTTCCCAACGCAACGCTATGGTAGTTACCTAGATTTTGATTTTCTGATTCTGCATAAACTTCATAAGGCCCTTCATCTAATGCACTATAGAAATTCATTACGCTAGTTAACGTATTGAAATTCTTATTAAAATTTTCTTTAACTGCAATATTATTATGATTTTCCTCGAATTCTTTTACAGCTGACAATTCTTTTTGATCTATATCGACTTCTTCCTCAACAACCATATCATTACTATCCTCATGAGATTTATTTACACTGACTGCCCCACTAGTTTCTTCTTCAATTACCATATCAATCCAGTTTTTAATCGCTTCTTTAAAATTTTCCCTTGCTTTGTCTTTATTAATATTTATCATTTCTTTTATTTGCTCTTCATTCAATTCCATTATATTTTTTTTAATTACATCTTTATTTAACGTATTCCTTTCCGATTTCATTCTATTTATTTTATCCATTTTTTTACTATCTTTTCTTATTTCTGACTTATTACTACTAATTACACCACTTTTTTTAATATTTTTACTATCACTATTTTTAACATTTATATCCGATTTAACGCTATTTACTTTAGTCGAATTAACTGATTTTCCAACATGATTATCACTTAGAATTTCATTTTTACTATGAACAATACCTTAGGTAATATCATATTCTGTATAATCCGTATTATTAATTAATTGCACTGCATTACTTATTTTAATGCCAGTTTCAACTTCTGTGCTCAAAACACTATTGTTGCTGGATATCGGTACCCGCAAATCAGCAGGCCCGAGCCTGTGATTCATACCACGTTTATTATTTGTTATCTAATATTATTTGTATCAGTTTCACCTCGATCTTTACCTGTCGAACGCTCGACCTAAACTCAATTCTAGACATTCTAAGTGTTTTTTTGTTTAATAAAATATGATTTAAAATAACTTAGAACGACTATCAAATTGCTACTTAGACGTTTCCTTTGTTTACTCGCAATATTTCCTGAAATAGAAAATACACTCATACTTGCGACCAAATTATGCTTAATTGTTTTTAAAGCCTGATATAATAATTCTAAGTTTGTTCTTTAATTTGTGGCTTCTAGGGTTTAAAACTCTTTTTTAAGTTCGAGAAGAGGAAGTTACTTCTTCAAGAAGAAGTCGCACTGATTTAAATTTTTATATAAACTGGTATAAAAATCTAAATTAATATATACAAAACCTTTTTGGGAACCATTGCAGACTGATAAGATATCAAATGTTATTGAACCGATATGATTTCAAGAATCAAAACCCTATCATCTATCTTTTATATTTGGCTATATTTGTCATTTTCCATTTATACAGTGAAAACCGACTTTTTTCACTAAAAAACTGGTTTTCGAATTTCATAATTTTCGCCAAAAAACCGGTTTTTGAAAACTGATAAACCTTATTTGAGATACTTTTTTTTGTAAAACTACCGTACGTAGAGTTATTGTTGTTTTCATGCCATTAAAGTTAATCCTTACCTCGGGAGTGATGTACTAGCAATTAAATAAAATTTGTTTGATATAAATTTTTGGACGTTACAGTAACGTAGATATAATTATAATAAAATCTGTATTTATTGTCTTCGGAATGTAAGTTCAAAGCATTTTCTAAAACGCATAAGGGGTTGATTGTTATATATATATATATATATATATATATATATATATATATATATATATACCTTTTGTTAGCGTCGTGATAGGTTTTTTATCTTTACATAGAAAAGTGTAATATGTCGTTTATTATGTTTGATGAAAATTTTGCTTTATAAATTGATCGGTCGTTTTAACGTATTTAGAAAATTACTAATACAAAAATTAAAAAAGAGAACAGTCTTTTTACCTTTTTTAACTCACGGGTCGCATTTAATTTTATAAATTTTATGACGGGCCGCCTTTATCTATAGTTTACAAATATTGATATATACTAATGAACATTTCAATTTAAAAATAATAATTTTGAATATAAAAGAATGTAAATATGTCATAAATTAATGCAACAAAAAATGTCTGAACACTAATGTCATGATAATCTTCGCAAATATAATCAAAGATTTTGAGTATTTTCACGTTAATTATATTTTTTATTACTTATTTATCATTTTATTATTTTAATTAAATATACCTTCATTTTTTTCATTTTTATTTATTATTCTATTAAATCCGATATTATATTTGGTTGCCAATATAGTATTCTAAAAACTGATAATTTTCATACAGTATTTTAATAAAATAACTTGCGAAATTATAAATTATTTGATACGTATGATTTTGCACATTTTTTAGTATTTCAAGATTTCGATGTTGTTCCTACGTCTCATATACTCGTATAACTGTATTTTTTCTTATAATTAATTCTTTAAATCATAATCATATTTCCGATTACAATGTGCATAATCATTGTTTCCGTCTCATTAAAATTTAAAATCCAATAAACTTCTCGGTGATTAAAAACCTATCAAAATAAACATCCGGTAGGCGAATTCAAAATTACTAGAAGATACTCAAATAATAATGCTGCATTATATGTATCATATATTATGAACAAGTAATGTGCAGGAGATAATACTGATATGTTAAACATGGACTTCATGGGTTATTTTGCTGCTAGAAAATATGTGTTGCATTACTCTTTTTCCCAATCAGGAGTTCTATTACAAAATACCTTGTCTAATAAGTATTATGTATACAGTGACACCCCATTTAACGCTGCTTCGTTTTGGGCAGTTTTAATTCATCCCGAAGATTTTTCCTTTTTTCTACTTTTATTCTGCGATTTGTTTAATGTAAAGGTAAATGTAGATGTCGAAGAAATAGTTCAATAAACAGCATCTGAACTTTTAAATTATAATGTGAAAAATATAGTCTATAGTATATATATAGTAGTAGTGATTTCAAGGAAGAGTAAAAACTGGCATCGATGGTCCAAATGTTTATAGAAATTCATCATCATAGGAAGCAAGACGGGATGTTATAAATGCTTTATTTACCTATCAATAATTTGAAAATGCGAAAGAAAAACACAAATGACATTCAGGTGTCCTTTTGGGAAGACGCGCAAAGAGGAAAAACATTTGAAATACAAAATATACTGAATGATCAGACTATCATGATTTTTCATATATATACTTTCTATTATATGAACAGCGATCAGAACTCAAAGGTTCCAAGAGCTATTTTGGTGATATGACCTTTTATAGAAGGCAAACCGAACAATTGCCTTACCTTTATGGGATGAATTTTGTTACTAAAATTTCTGCAATGGTGGTGAATTTCTTTTTTATGCAAAAATGCTGATTAAGGGTTATTTTTACTTGGAAACATATTACTATCTATATTTTCAAGTAAAACCCGATATCATTGCACAAATTGCAACCTAGAGCTTTGGTGAAATTATGACCATTTTTTGGTTATTCAGGTTGATTTGTATTAATTTTGTTTATTTAAACTTTGGAACCGTAATTATGAATAACATTTCAGAAGCACATTTAAAATAACCCAATTGACCCAATTTTTCAAGAATTAAAGCTTTTTGTTGAACTTTGAATTTTTTTTTTTTTTTAAATCGGTCGACTTTGAGAAGCTCTTCTTAATTAAAAATAATTCTTAAAAAGGATGTACTAATATGTGTTGGCAAGTTTGATAAAAAAACTTTGCTTATTTAATCGGGATTATTAAATAGTAAATTACTTGATGACTAATTTTGAGTGAATAAATAAAAACCTTAAAATGACATGATTTTGGCTAGTGCATTTTGCGCTAGCTTCAATGTGCAAGACAGAAACATTTGATCTAAATGTGAGCGAAATGTGTTAGCCGTTATAAAGTGTTTTTTAGTTTTTTAGTCGAAATGTTTTAATATTACAGTTACCAAGTATTTTGTTATTTTACAATCCTGTGATAAAATGCGCCTACTTTTGATAGAGCTTGTAAACACACTTTAGTAGGGGTAAGTCCCCGAGAGCCGGACACCTAAGGTTTTTTATAAATAAAACAAAAAATATTTTACAAAATGTTTATTAAATTATGACTTATGTTAAATAACAAAGTAAGAAATCAAACTAAATTAACAAAAACGGAATCTTTACTAAACAATAATTATGAATCAAACTTTGGTAACGAAATATATGATTTTACAAAGTGGCACCTATTACCGGTCATTTCAAAATAACCAGCATTGAACACATATATAGCCATCTCCACACTTTGGAATGCACATTTGTGTTTGTCGAATATTCTTAGATATTGCAAAAAAAAATCACTAATTATCCACACTTTTGGCTGGGCCGCGCCGATGCTCTCAGCTGGAGCATTCATCATAAGATTTTTATTCTTTGACTAAAAAATACGAAAAATGGGGTTGGTTATGTAGTGACCGTTAGCACTCTTACAGAACAAAATTAAATAGTTAGAATAAATTACGTCAATTCTTACAAGAAATATCAATATGTTTACTTTCGGCGCTAAGGGACGACTTAGTGTCCGGTGCTAAGGGACAGACAATTTTGTTCATTTTGTGGTACCTACTAAAATTGTTTAAAATATCTAATAATATTCTACCATTTAACGGATAACAATCAAGTACTACTTTCATTTTTGAATGCAACTAAAACATAAATGCATAAATATACTAGAATTACTTCCATTGATATTTAGGTGACGCCGTGTTTTTGCGCCTAAAACAACAAAAGGTTGCTCCCACCGTAGCCGTGTGCGTCACAGGTGAGTCTTAGCGCGTGATCCTGCACCTGTGTGCTCCTTGCGCCCCTTTCACTTGTATTTTGAAATAAAAAGATTTATACGCGCTTAAATAATACCTGTTAAATAGAGTATCCGGCTTTAGGTTCCGTCCGGCGTTACGGGACTTCCCCCTACATTTTTTAGAGGCTTTTTTAGAGTCGACCGATTTCAATAAAATTATTTCATAGTTCAACAAATAATCTTAATACTTGAAAACTTGGAACAATTACGTACGTTATTTGTTACTGTGGTCTTAGAAATATTATTCAGGATTATGTTTTCAGAGTTGAAATGAACAAAATTAGTAAACTTTGACCACAATAACCGAAAATTGGTCATAATTTCACCAATGCTCTAGGTTGCACTTAAAAGCTCATCATTTCCAAACAACGTAGAATAATTTTTTTGCCTAATTTTTTGTCTTGACAGTTAGGGTCAATACTATCACCCGTTTTGGCTTGACGTAAACTTTTGAGACACCTAGTGTTCAACTTCTTGGTGTACGCATTTAGTAACACGTTCAAAGTTAAATGTGAACTTACAATTAGTGTAAAGAGTTGGTGTAAAACCGAATTTGGTACATTAATTGTTTGTATGCATATATACCAAGAAATAAAATTTTTCATATGAATATAGATACAATGTTTTGTATCAGACTTTTCATTTACGATAAGACTCACGTGTGCATAGTTTCGGTTCGTCGGTCATGTCTCCGCAGTCGTCCGTCCCGTCGCAGTATCGATTCATTTCCACGCAGCGTCCGTTGGCGCAGAGTAGCTGCTGCAGTTTGCACGGCGCCTCCGGCGATGCCGTCGACGATACATTCGACTTCGGCAAGTACTTTCCGACGGCTATCAGCAGATTTGCCACCAGGATGAATGATGTCAGCGACTGGCTCATCGTAGCTGAAAATTTGAACATGTTTAAGAATTTTCATCGAAATTGTCAATGAAATTTTTGAAATTTTCAAACTTTTTTTAAGAACTACATTGAAAAAGAAGTAAAAATATGTAACATGTATACATTTACTGACAAGAAATACAACAAAAAATTCTGAAATTTCATATATGAGAATATAAGAATTTAGATTTGCTCATTGATTAGAGCATAGATTGTACAAAGATACAAAGATACAAATTGTATTGTTCAAAGATATAAATATAAAAAAAATTACAAAAATACAATTGAAGAGAAATTTAGTGGTAAAAATTATTTAAAAATTTAACTAGTGGGGTGCATGGCATTGTGCTTTAAGGCAAATTGCTGCTACTTCCCGTACCGTAAATCTTGGTACGGAACCCAAAAAAAAATTACATAAAATATGAATACATTATTAAAATCTCTATAAAATATCTGATAATTTGATGTACATATGTCCAACATATGTCCTCCCTTCCCAAAAATTTAATCAGTTCTTCATCTTGTCAATACAAGTAAAATGTTTTTTGAATTATTAAAATCAGACGCGCCGTTCTCTTAAAAACTGAGTTACCGTTTTTGGCACTGTTTGCGCCGTATCTTCGGAACGGCTAGACCTGCCTTTGCCAAAAACTAATCAGCACTTCTCCTTATCAATACGAATCGAATGTTTTTTGAATTATTCTAATCGGTTGATCGGTGTTCCCGAAATCGTCGACAAAAATTTGTATCCGCACACACATACACACATACACACACATTACAAAATATTCAGAAACCTTTGAAACGTAAAGATATATAAAAATTTCATTTTCGATTTTTTTGTGATTACTATAACTTACCCTGCGGGAAGTTAACAATGAAACGAAACTACTGAAGATATAATTGAGAAAAAATAACTAGCTGTAAGTGGAATTCTGTCTTAAGGCAATTAAGGCATCGTGCCTTAAGGCAAATTGCTGGAACTTCCCGTACCAAAAATTATTAATTTTTTAAAAACGATTAATATTTTTGAAAAAATAAGATTTTTGAGAAACTTATTTTTTTTGAAAAAAAAAAATTTTTTTCTTTATTTTGACATATTGTGGAAGATCTGAACTTTTTTTTCAAAGCAATCGTACTGATTTAACTGCATAGGGACAAAATATAAAGCGCGTAAGCGCCGCGTCGCTGTCTAACGCATAAGCATTGGTACGGAACCCATAGGAATGTTAACAAAATGTATACTTATTGTTAAAATCTTTATAAAATATCTGATAATTTGATGTGCATATGTCTAATGATCATTTTTGACCGCCAAATGGCTAATTTTTTTACTTTTTGCTCCATATCTCCGAAACCGCTAGACCTACCTTTATGAAAATTTTATCGATTCTTCATCTTGTCAATACAAGTCAAATGTTTTTTGAATTATTTAAATCGGACGCTCCGTTCTCTTAAAAACTGAGTTACCGTTTTCGGCACTTTTTGCCCCGTATCTTCGGAACGGCTAATCCTGCCTTCGCCAAAAACTAATCAGCACGTCTCCTTATCAAAATGAATCGAATGTTTTTTGAATTATTCAAATCGGTTGATCCGTGTTCCCGAAATCGTCGGCGAAAATTTGTACCGCACATACATACACACACACATACACACACACACACATACATCCATTTTTTCTAAGGTATGCCAAAATGTTCAGAAACCTTTGAAACGTAAAGATATATAAAAATTTTCATTTTCGATTTTTTTGCGATTACTATAACTTGCTCTACGGGAAGTTAATAAAGCACACAAAAATTATTTAAGTATAGGACACATTGATATGTTATAAATGGATGTACGTGTGTATGTATGTCTGCCTGTGTATATCCAATGCATTCATAAACCATTCATCCAATCTCCGTGAACATTTGGAAAACTCATAGGTGCACTCCCGGACAGGTTTTCGCATACTTTGATTGAAACCAAGTAGTAGGGGTTACCACTCTCAAGATTTTTTTTTTATTTTGTGAATCATATTTATTTATAATGCGTATATAAAAATACATATTACCCTAAATTTGCACTCTCTTACCACAACCCCTGATTTTGCAAAAAATATTATAGTCATTTCATCATTTTTCATATTGATTTCTGCCAGTTAACTTTTTTTGGCTAAATTTAGATCGAGATTGTTCAGAAAACGCTCAATGTTACATAAAGAAATGAGTTTATCAAGATTTCAAATATAACACTTATTTTTTATTTAATGGATCAATTTTCTTAATTTTTTTAATGCGAAATTAAAATTTAATACTTTCAATCCACATTTTTCATCTTTTTGCAATACTTCGCAATTTCATTAATAATTTTTAACCAGGTAGATAACTGGTCAATCGTCATTTGTAAAATTTTTACACTGAAAAGCTATTCAGATTTACATAATGTTACGTAATTCTTTTTTTTGTTTAAAATGTTTGATTATAATTTTATTAAGAGTTGTTTATCTCTAACACTCTATTGTTTTTTTTAAGAAATTTTCTTCTTTAAATTAAGACAAGTTCATTTATTAACATTGAAAATTGGTTTACCGATCACCCTATCAAGAAACTTATTTATAATTCTTTTATAATATGGGTTTGAAAATATATGGAATTAAATTTATAGATATAAAGTTAGATCTATACGAATTTTCATTTATTTAGATCACTCTGAGTTTTTGTTACTTCTCATGTTTTTCGCTAAGACTTATTAAGGTTTTATGGCGACGTTTCCTCCGTCTTATATAATATTTATATAAAGTTGTTGAAGTAATGTTTTATGTAAAAAAGTTGTGTTTAAGTAGCCAAAAAATTATACGTAATAAGAAACAGTCTAATTTCCGCTGCAGAGATTATATATATATATATATATATATATATATATATATATATATATATAACCAGTACGATACTTGTGATGAGAAGAAATTCGACATTTTGAATTTGACTGTATAATATTAATGCAGTTTATTAATTGCAGTTTATTAATTGCAGTTAAATTTAGATTTTTCGTTACTGAATTTACTAATTATAAGTTGCTAAAAATTCACAACCAAATTATTCCTAGTTTTATTACTATTAAAATTTATTTTTGAACATAAACAAATACGATTTTATTGTTTTAATCATCGACTTTTTGATCCTTTTGTCGATTTGTAATTAAAAACCTCTGTTTACGTAAAAAACTAATTCATCATAGTTTTACATGGTATTCAAAACGGCGCCATATACGGTATTTATACCAATAATTAAGGATAATTAACCAGTGTTTCGATAAGTTAAAAGCACTTCTCACTTAATTTTTTAGAATTTAATTTTAATTTTTATAATTTATTTATATAAATTTCTTCTTGTACTTAAAAGTACTCAGATTCTTTATTTGAGTTCTACATGTTTATTAGTCCTCTGACTCTACTAATCATGTCTCTTTTCTCATTTATAAGTACTTTTGTATACATATATTCAATAATAAGTAAATTGTCATAAGTGCTATGAAGGTGCAAACTATGAATAATATGATGGAGGGCTTCATTTTCCCCGGGGTGTCATTTGTATCTCAGTCAGAATATGAATAATTGTTTATTCAGTAATAATTATTAATATATTATATATGGTAGTAGGGATTATGAAAAAAAATAATTGTTTGTTAAAATAATTAGATAGCATAGAAAATGAATTTTTGTTTGTCATAATTAATTAACTGAATCTAAGAAAAATACGTAAACCTATAATTTACGTCTAGTGATAATATATAATTTTTACTGTAATTATAGTGCAAAGAAGGAAAAAATAGATTTTTACTTATAAGAAAACTTTAAATGAATTTTTCTCATTTTTCTGTTATAAATTGATCTAATAAACTTTCAAGGCAATTAGGACCGAGGCAGACTTCTGGCAGACTTATTTATTTTTCCGATCATGTCTGAGTATCTATTTTTCTACTACTATGACACTTCTGGTAGAATGTGGTACTTTATTTAAAAAATCTCTTCAATATACTATTTTCGAAATTAAATTGGTAGAAATATTTGCACGAACATATTGCGTAGAAGTTATTTGTTTTATGAATTTGAATTTTTGTACGGTTATCGTTAAAATTTTATATTTAACTTTTTGCAGGGTAAATTATATTAATCAAAAATATTGTTTTTGCATATCTTTACATTTCAAAGCATTCTGAACATTTTGGCATACCTCAGAAAAAATGGATGTGTGTATGTGTAGTATGTATGTATGTATGCGCGGATACAAACTTTCGTCGACGGTCTCGAAAGAACACAAATAAATTTAAATGATCCAAAAAACATTTTATTTGTATTGACGGAATGAAGAATTCATTAAATTATTGAGAAGGCAAGTACAAGAGTTTCGCAGATCCAATAGCCTTTTGGCGGTCATAAATCATATGCGAGTATAAGACAATATGCATATCAAATTTTAGATATTTTAGAGATTTTAATAACAAGTATAAATTTTGTTTACATTTTTATTGGTCTTCGTAACAGAATTATAATTTTCATAATGTTTAATGGAGTTTAGGCGCATTTCGTCTCTAAAATAGCTACGCAGCGTGATCGATTTAAAACAAATTCAAAATTTCCAAAAAGTTTATAATTTTTTGGTACAGGAAGTTTCAGCAATTTGTCTTAAGGCAAAATTTTCAAAAAGTTTCATAATATTTTGGTTCAGGAAGTTCCAGCAATTTGTCTTAAGGCAATGCTCATCTACCACTAGTTATAACAAGAAAAACTAACATAAACTAAATACATAAATTAACTAAATTCCTTCTTTGATAACTAATTTGTATTTTCATAGTACTAATTAGTTTCTTTTATATATTTATTAAAATAAAATAATAAAATTTTATAAATTTTTATTAAAATATTTGGAGAATGCCGATTTCTAATTTATATTTTATTACATTACTTTGATTTGTATAAATTGATATTAATATTATTATTCCATTTAGTATTCCATTGACT